GCTTACTTTCCGAAATTTGGTTACTGGCAAGTTGCTGGATATTTTTTGCTGGAGAATACGAAAACGCAACTGTTTTCTGTAAACCAGTGTTCCCGTTGTGCTACTAAAGTATCAAATTTACACTTTTTGGAGATCTATGCCCCCTGACACCGACTTTTTAAAAATGGGCTTTTTTGAAACTTTTCTTTGATTTAAAATTCTATATACCCATTTCGATAATTCCTTCTTAAATTTTGTTTAAAAATGCTTTTTTTCTATGAATTTCAGCATAAGGTTTCGTGTTTGGGGTAAAGGAGATCTGTAGAAGGCGACCATCGGTGTGAGATTCTATTTAATTACATTTGATGCCATTTGCTTTTGCATCGAACAGACCTTTAAACGTAGTACAAATTGACCGATCGCTGTTTCCCCGAACACACCATGGAATTTGTAATCTCGTAAAAGGTGCCTTTCGTGGTTTTGTGGTGAGTTTCACCACTTGCTCTGGCACAGCGAAAAAAAAATTCCTTCAATACGGGTTGGAGACCGGGCTAAGCCAGTAAATAGTACAACATCAGTGTTGCCAGGTAGCCCATCTGAGCCCAGAGTGCGGATTTGCTCAGTTTAGCCCCTTGCTCGCTCGTTAGTTTGCTCTGAGCTTGCGCAACTCACGAGCAACAGGCGACGCTGTTTGCAAACGAGCACCTGCTAAGTACGAGCGCACGCGCTGAGCAGCCAGCGAGCGAGTAAGCAAACGAGGGCAGCGCAAGAGTAGAGCGGTCAGCAAACGAGGACCTCATTAGCTCTGCCCTCGCGAAGGCGTCGTTGCGAGCGAGGCACTCATTTGCAGCAGCAGACGAGCGCCTGAGTAAAGGAGCGAGGCAAATGAGGCAAGCAGATTAGACAGGGGGTTGTTTGGTCAGCAAAAATGTATGGGATAAAAATTGCATCAACTAAGAATTTCAAGTAAAGGATTGTATGCACACATGCAGATATGTATATACATACAGATATACATATATGTATGGATTTATTTATGTATATATTCTCATGCACAGAAGAATAGATGCGTGCTATTTTGACCAGCTTTATATACTAGTTAGGCATATATTTGCATACATATCTATATAGGTACAATTTTTTTAATGTTCAATAATTTCTTATAAAATTTCAACGTGTACAGTTAGGTCTCTATTTATGTGGATTTGAACTTACGCGGTTTTTCAAACCCTTTTTTCGCTGTAGCGATTTTGCTTTTTAGAGCTTTTATTTATTGTTTTCAATGAGTAAGGGGCAATGCTTCTGATAAATAATTTGTCTTTGTATTCTTATATACAAGTAATTGGGCTAAGTAACTATGTTACATATGTATAAATGAGAATATAATATTTATAAAAATCATTATTTTGTATTTCATTTCATAAATGAGTAGGACATTACCATTTTCAAATGAATATTCCTGGTTTAGTCCCCATACATATGTATGTTTGTAGTATAATACAAACTACTATTTGGGGTGTTAAACAGTATTTGATAATTAAGGCTGGTCTACATAGAACTTTCGCGTTGACTTTCTAGTTTGCGTTGGTTTGACAGAACGCACGTTAAAAGTTTGCGTTCTACAATGAAGCTTGGCAGAGACTACTTTGCCCACTAAATTAACATATTAACGAGAGATAAATTAAGCTTTCATATCAATAATTGCATGAAAAATTATATCTCTTGCCCCATTTGATTAAAAGGAAAAAAAACATTTCAT